CCTTTTTTCTTAGCCACATGCCTGTAGTTTGAGTAAAAAGGTTTCCAATTTGTTAAAATAGTCGTTTGGGATCACTGTAGATGTAATGTGACATAGATCTAGGAATATCAGGTTTTGCTTCACTGTGGACTTTGTTGAACGGAGCTTATCATATGAGTGATTGTCTATCATCGTCCATGTCAACTTTACTTTTTCAACTTCTACATGCTACATTCGATTGCTTAGATACTTAGATTTATTCATAGAAATACAAATTAAAGGAATACATTTAATTCTTTTTGAACACCGCAAATAAATTGAGTACATTTAATGATTATTTTTTGTTAAATAACTTGGTGAGTGAATTAATTGACCATTTTCCGTTCACTGCGACAATCACGCGTTATGCGTAAAAACAGGACAAACAAAGGTCATAGCCTCGTAGTGGCGTTAAACATCGCGTGGGATTCGACAAACGCAACAATATTTTGGGGGCATTTCCATGCTTGATGATAGACAATTTTGATTAAGTGAGGGTATTCAAAAGTAATATTCCTCTGTCGAAGATCAGCTGGTCAATGTGAGCTACGAAATTAAGAAATTCGAGTTCAAAATCAAATCGTTCGATTATTGCGGCAGACGTTCAACGTGTGCCTTTCATGCATCTCGCGAGGTCTCGCAATTGTACGGAAAATCACCTATTGAGGCTGCAAGTTAATAGTTTGTATGATTTTTTTCAACCCCTATTTCAACTACTGTAAATGCATAATTGCTATTCACTTTTTAATTTTTTTGCTGATCTAAGATTTCTGCTAAATTAACAGATCAATATTTTATTCATATTTCACAGTTACACCTAGCAATGCTGCCACTGCTCCAAGACATCCCCAACAACAACAACAACAGCCGCCATCACAGTTACACTACCATCCCGGTAGAGCTGCTCACGTACCACCATATCATCAAAATGTGCCCCCTCATCATCAGCAACTGCTAAAACAACACCAACGCATGACTGAGGAACACCGCAGACGCTTACAGATGCACCAGCAAAACATGCAAAGGTGATTGTGTAGTTTAGTTCATTTAAATTTTCACATAGTACATCCGAACAAGATCAGAGTGCACACATAGATGGAACCTTTTCTGATTATCCTGCAAGACTTCTATTTTTAACTAAAAAAAAATTATATAAATATTTGTTTCCAGACAAAGAGAGAGAGTGTCTCAGAACCTGTACATGCATCATGTGCACAGACTGCGACAAGCTCAGCGGCAACAGCAACAGCAACAGCAGCAGCAAGTACAACAGTTGGCACAACAAGCACAGCAGGTTTATCAGCAGACTTTACCACCAGGTCCTGTGTTTGTCGACGAAGTTGTTCCTCCACCCATTCCCCCTGTTCCTTCTAATCCAGTAGAAATGTAAGTTGATTTTTACTCATGTTGTAGAAATGTAACTGTTATAATTTGAAGCTATGACTTTTAGTTTTGTTATTTTTCATAATGATATTGATACATTGTCATGGAACATCTCGTGAGTATTTAGACTCAGTTCCGAAGTGGCAGTTGAGCAATACACACCTTGGCTACAAGTGCTCCTCTCTAGTGAATTATTCTCTCTGATAGAGAGAGCCACAATTGCTAAAATAGTAAACTTTCAATTTCATTTTATCTGTGTAGAGATCATAACGAAGGAGATAGCGCACCAGTAGAGGGGGCATCAAGAAACTGTGCTGGAGGCAATCCTGGCGTTCATCAACATAGGCATTTACATCATCATCTTCATCATTATCACCATCAACCTCCA